TGCATCGCAGCGAGGTGGTGCACGCGTGACGTGTAAATGAAAACAAGAACATCCCCGTGGTTGTTGCGATGGCGCTTTTCCTCCTGCTGGCCCGCTGCTTTCCACAAGTGACCTGTGACAACTGTCTTTGGGTTCAAGATGGAAGAAAATGAGCAAAATAAAATATAAACCACAGTTCGCAGCATAACCTAGCCAGTATTTTAAATACGCATCTTTTCTGAGAATTGAAGATAGTTTTTCCCTGGTTTCCCTTTTATACTCAATGAGCATGCTATGCATTTTATGTGCAAATATTGCTCTCTATGGAAAAAAACTTGTGTGCACATGTAGATCTCTGCGGCTGGCAGTGAATTAGTATTTGTATCTGTTTACCTATTGACAGGATAAAGTACCGTAGTGACCCCAAGTTATATCTGGTGGACTTGGCAGTGTTAGGTTTACGGTTGGACTCGATGATCTTAAAGGTCTTTTCCAACCTAAATGATTCTATAAATACAGTTGCAAGCTTTACCTCTGCTAAGCTTGAAACTTTAATAAAAGTTGCATTAAATTAAACTTTCAAAAAAAGGCTTTGAAGCCACTGAAAAAGGTATTTCAGGAATTTTCCTTGGTGAGCCAGCTACTGCCTGAGCGCTCGGTTTCTCTGCTTTCAAGGTTATCAGCTCTAACCCCCCCGTGTTTACCTTGTAATCGTGTTTTAACTCCCTGTCTTTGGTGGTGGGATAGCTGCCAGAAATATTATTTGAAAGAATGCAAGAGGCTCAAATTTAGCCTTTTACGGCTTTTACGTTTAATCTTCGCAAACCCTTCTTCTTTCAGTGTGCGAAGCTCCCACCTCGGGAGTGGACGCAGAGGATGGCATGGCATGCTCGATTTCCTTAAACTTTTTAGAAAATGATGCAGACAATGAGCCAGGAAGGACTGTGTTACGGCAAGGTGCTGGTGCCTCCCCGGCATCAGGGATGGGGGGAGCCCCGGCGGCGCGGGGCACGGCGGGAGAGGCTGCGAGCGCCTCCCTGCCTGGGGACCCGATGGCACCCGCTGGCAGCCCTGGAGCGGGGCGAGGGTGGGCTCTGGGGGAGGCTGGGGAGCCTCTCCAGGGTCGCAGGGTAGTTTGGGTGGGACGGGACCTCGGGAGATCTCCATTTGGAGGGTACTGATGTAGGGGTGGAAGGTCTTGCAATGTTGTGACACAAACAGTTGCTCTGAGTAGTCTCCCTTTAGTGTAGGTTTATATACTTGGGACTTATTTTTTTAATAAGTGGATTTGCAGCAGAACAAAGTGAGCTAACTAACGTCTTAACGTAGTCTCAGAACAGATGTTGGTGACTGGTCAGCCTTGCACAGAGATTGAGCTGAGTTGGATGACTTGCCTGGAAAACCACAGTTCTCTGCTCCTTGCCATGCTGTTCATCTTATATTAATTCCTTTAATTAAAAAAAAAAAAACAAAACCTTCCTCTGTTGAGGATAAGGCCGAGGTAATTTTGAAGCTTGGGTTTAATCACCTGTTCTCCAGAAGCATTTGCAAGCTTCAGCAGAGACTGGGGGTCTCGCAGACGTCGG